TATAAAAGCAACAATTGTAACAAAAATCACTTTTATAGAAGAATCAACAAGCAGTTCCCTATTTGGGCTTATCCATGGCATTTTATTCTTCTGTAGTTGACCCGATCTTTTGGTTTGATGTGTAGGAAAGAGGACTATCAGTCTGTCACTCTAGTGAGATAGGAATTGATATCGTTGAATGAAAACAACTGTATTGGGATGTAGCGTTTATTTGTCGAGATTTTGAACAAGATGTTTAATTTTGTGTTGACATTGTACATAATGAGTCCATACTTTTAGAGAAGTATAAAGGGATGATAGAAACAAGAAATAAAGATCATCATGCTATTGAACCCTTCTCCATGTCTTTCTATTATGTTGTTCAATTTATATTTGATTAGAGTTATTAGATGGTTGGTCCTTTAGCATCTCTTTAAGCATTTCATGTGCAATTGGCTAGCTTGACATCATCTCAGAGCATAACAAATGTTCAAGCCCACATCAAGCTAATATCTTCATAGTTAGCTATGGGTGGGACTAACTAATTTTGAATTGCTTGGCTCTTGATATAGAGGCTTAAGGGATGGGGTTGCGGGGTGGGGAGAGGCAAACTTAGTGGAAATTGTGTTCTTCGTTGCGTTATTTAAAATTTCATAATATAAGTTGCACCTAAGCTCCTTTTAATGGAATTTACCATAAGTTGTATGCTTCTTGGTGTCCTAGATGAGGCTTTTCCACAAAATGTTTGAGGAGCACCTCAAGGCGCGCACTCCTACGCAATAACAAAGAGGCGTACTTCTCATATTTTAAGGTTAGGGTGATTCAAACAAAAAACTTGGAATAAAGTATATTTCTTAAAACCCAAATTTATTGTTTCTCCCAATTAATCTATTTAAAATTGGCTTCATACTCAGTTCCTTTCCTTAGCCACTCACCATGGTCTGCTTACTAAAGCACTGTAGTTGCCAAGCCAAGCCTTCTTCCTCCACAACATATCCTCTTACTCCACTATATCTACTTTTATTGTTAATATCAATAGTCATTTAAGTAAATAATTATAATGATGATTCTAATGAAGACCCATTAAGTGACGAGAGTGATGAAGACTTTTAATTTTACAAATTATCATCTTAATGGCTTAGATTACTTTTTAATGTTTTTTTTTTTTAAATTTTTTTACTTTCACTATAAGATTACTTTTTAATGTTGATTCGAGAGTAGGATACACATACTGTGATGAACTTACTTTGATTTGTTATATTCTTACTTTGATGTTAGTATGATATGCCTTTCTTTGTACTTTGATGTTGTAATGATACTTGTTATTTTGCGCTATTTATTGATTATATGGCTTTCATCTCAAAATATCTCGAAGCTTATGTCTCGGCTCACCTACAGAAAATACCTCAATTCCTAATTCAATAATTTTAGTCCTGGTCTCTTGGTGCATGATGGAATTGAGCGGACCTGGTGAATTACAATTGCCAGAGGAATTTTAATCCTGGGGAATTACAAGGAAGGAAAAGATGGCGGTGGGTTTGCTTTTTGAGGAAGTGTGGCCTTCAATTGAAAATCATGCCAGATCATTGTATAAACAAAATGGTAGTTTTCTTTTTGTGTAGTTGCTGAATGGAAGCATTGGAAATGGCTGCAATTTACCTTTTCTTTGTCTTGTGGCTACAAGAGAGAGTCACTAGAAGATACAAAAAAACTTAGTAAGCAAGAAAAAAAAAGAACTGAGAAAGAAAGAGATGGAAGAAAGTTAAGTTTGAATCATGTCTAAGAAAGTCCTAAAGACTTTTTTTTCATTGGAGTAGCAAGGGAAAAAAAATTGGTGAGTGGGGAAAAATAATCGAACGAAGGAACAAAAATGAAGGAAGAAAGAGGGAAATGAAGACTTAGGTAGAATCGCACTTTGAATCTCTTGAAAGTAACGAAGAGATGGCTTCTGTAGTACGAGCTTCCAGGGTTTCATTAAATTATGAATAATATCCTACTATTTTTAGGTGTACTTAATTACTTTGAATTTCTTTTTACTTTTTATACTTAAAATATTTCTCTCTAATTAATTTATGGGACGTGTCATACTTTAAAACTTTGGGAGAAAGTTATGGAGCATAGGTTACGACGTGATACTAATGTTTCTCAAAATCAATTTGGATTCATGCCGGATAGGTCTACTATGGAAGCTATTCATTTATTGAGAGGGTTGATGGAGAAGTTTAGAGAGACTAAGGAGTATTTATTGATTTAGAGAAAGCATATGATAAAGTTTGAAGAGAAGTGCTATGGAGAGTTCTAGAAAAGAAAGGGGTTAATAACGCTTATATTCAAGTTATTAGGTATATGTATGCAGGAGCTATTACTTGTGTTCAAACACAAGGTAGTTTGACCAAGTATTTTCCTATTTTAGGTGGATTACATCAAGGATCAACCTTAAGCCCTTATCTTTTTTGCTTTTGTCATGGATGTTCTTACTAGACATTTGTAAGATGATATACCTTGGTGTATGCTTTTTGCTGATGATATTCTTCTTGTTGATAATACTAGAGACGGAGTTGAAGGTAAACTCGAATTATGGAGGTCAACTTTATAGTCTAAAGGTTTTTGTTTGAGTAGATCTAAAACCAAATACATTGAGTGTAATTTTAGTAGTAATAGATCTAGCGGGGGTTTGTGACTTTGAACAATCAATTCATTAATAAGTGTACTCGTTTTAAATATATTTGGTCTATTGTTCAGAGTGATGGTGAAATCATGGAGTGTAATTTTAGTAGTAATAGATCTAGTGGGGGGTTTGTGACTTTGAACGATTAATTCATTAATAAGTATACTCTTTTTAGATATCTTGGGTCTATTGTTCAGAGTGGTGGTGAAATAGATTGGGATATTATTAGTAGAATTCAAGTTCGATGGTTGAAATGGAGGAATGCTTCGTGTTTGTTGTGTGATAGAAAAGTATCAATCAATTTTAAGGGAAAATTTAATAAGATGGTGGTGAGATCTGTAATGCTTTATGGCGCAGAATGTTGGCCATTAAAAGAGAAGCATAATATTAAGTTAAGTGTTTTGGAGATGATGATGCTTAGGTGGATGAGTGGACTTATTTTTAGAGACAGGATAAAAAATGAGCATATACGGGAAAAGGTTGGAGTAGTTCCAGTGGCTGATTACATTAGAGAGAGTCTCCTTAGATGGTTTGGTCATGTAAAATTTCGGCCTTTCGATGATCGTATTTGGAGAGTAGATGTATTAGATTTGACCTATATTAAGAAAGGTAGAGGTAGACCTAAATGACATTTTTTTATTAGATTTAAATTAGAATTTGACTCTTAACAGGACACAATGGAGAAAAAAGGATTCATGAAGCTGAAACCACTTAGTGGAATTAAAGGCTTGATGTTGTTATTGCTGCTTCTTAATTTATGGAATACGAATCAATTTCATCTAAAATAATGTATGCTGCGCTTATCAATTTTGATGCATCTCCTGATGTATAAAATTTATATGCTTCATGCCATTTTGCTTCACTAACAACGCGTTAATGCATTTTAACAATACTTTGTTTCAAAGCATGTTTTATTGCTCCTTGAAGTTATTTTTTTTAACAGTGGTTATGGGCTTAGGAGGCTTTGTTTTAGGTTGTTAGATAGTTAAGAATTAGTTGCCGTTTGTCCAATGAGTGGTAGCCATGTGGATAAGGGAATAGTCGCACAAGCTATCCTTGCTTAATTCAACCTAAACCAAATTTATTATGGAAGCAAGCTTTCTATTGGTAGAGAGACCATAGATATTAAAGGGTTCATAGGCTCCATTTAGATTCAACCTTTCTATTGGTGGCTTTTACTAATTGTGAGAGAATGAGAGTTGAATCTAATTAGGATTCAATTTACCCAATTGCTAGGTATTGGTTTTGATTGGGTCATGCTAGTCTAAGTTTGTTTTAGATTCTAGTGCACTCAATTTGGGCTTTATTGGGCTTGGGTGACCAAATAGGATTTGGTTTCCAAATTGGATTTGGTTTAGTCTAAGCCTACTCCCATCAAGGCTTTCAATAAATCAATTTCCCCTTAGCTGAGTTGAGTTTGATTTGGAGTAGGATTGCTTAAGGGGCTCCAATCTAAGTATTGCTCAAATCAAAGTAGATCTGGACCATTCTGATGAACAATAAACATAGATTAGGATACTTAGGCTTTGTTTTTAAACCACTTAGATCTTATGTGTAGAGCTATGCATTTACTCTATTTTGTTAGGAAGCCATAATAGTGCTAGAATGATCAACTTGGGACTCTTATAGGTCACTATTGGTAGAGAGACCATAGATATTAAACTTGTGGATCATCCCAGTTTAATATACATCCACTATCGGAGGGGGCTACTCTTATTTGAGTGAACTATACATAGTTCTTTGAGATTTGTCTTAGATTGGCTGACTGGGGTGGGGATAAATCTAAATACCCAAGAGTAAGGGTTGTTTGAGGTATTTTGACTTCTATAAGATTCCCCAATTCAAATGGGAAAAACATCGCCAAATAAAGCAACTGAAATATGTAAAAAATTTCATATAGTTTGCCATTTTCATGGAGAAGGGCGTAAGATTTAATCTTTGGTAGATGCATCCCTAAAGTTTCATACATTTATATTGTGCATGACCACATAATCTCTTATTAACTACTAAATAAACTTAATATCTTTCCTCCTGCCTTGAATATATATATATATTAAAAGAAAGCTATGGCAATAATTCCTTTATTGTTCCAAATTCAAGGACTCTTATATTTTTTAAAAAGTTGAACTAATGATTGGTTGTAAATGTTTTGAAAATTTGAGGATGCTTTTACTCTCATTTAGTACTCGTCATTTTTTATGAAAGACTAAGTACATGCTGTTTTATTTGATTTATAGATTTTTTAAAACTCATTTCATTATTAAAGCTCCATCATTTGATTTCAAAAGTTTTCATGCTAAATAGGCAACGTCAACTAAATTTTTTCTTTTTTTTCTTGACATGGCTGTTTCAGTTTTTGAACACGAATCATACTTTATATAATGCGGTTTTAATGTCCGAGCAAGAAGGGTCAATACAATCAGAAGAAGCTCGAAGGGCAGCTCATAGCCTAAGGATTGACTTTGAAAAGGGTGGTATTCATCTTCCTACTGGTATGGATTCATTAACAAATTTCCTAAAGTGCTTGTAGGCTTATATGATGCATCATGTTTAGCTAATTCTTGCGTTAATTGTGGCAGAGAAGCTGGAACGAGTTAACCAATTAAACACACAGATTGCTCTACTGGGTAGACAGTATGTTCAACGTTAATTATTCTTTTATATGCTTTGACTTTTCGTTATTGTGAGAATTGCATTTTTGCACCCTTGTCACATGGCTTTTATGAATATGATGTCTCTACATTAGCACATCTTTTTAAGTTCCTGGAATTGTATTTCATATGATGAAAAGCTTATCTAATCTTGACGTATTTTTTTATTTTGGATGTCACAATTCATGTCATGCATACTTCTCTGATGAAATTATAACATGATCTAAATGGAATAAAGCACATCATAAGTAGCTAGATTGTTTAAATGAATTTCATTTTAATGAATTAAGAACCTTATAACGTCATTCTAACTTTCTCGAGAAGCACATGTTGGAGCATTTCGATCGCCTTCCACTGCAACATGTAACAACTCAATAAACTTTGGTTGACAATATTTGGCTGTTTGCTTGAAAGTGTGCTTGAAAATGATTTAAATTATTAGGCTATCATCAATTTTACTGTAATAAAGGATAGAGAAGAGATGAGAGAGAGGATGGAGAAGAGGTGAGAGAGAGGGAGAGAGGGATGAAGAGTAAAATGTACTTACTACATATAAGAATCATATGTAAAATATGTTTCAAACTTGATGTAATATAAGACACATAATAATTATGCTAATAATTAATTAAAATACAAATATTGATGCACAAAAACAAGACACATAACCAAAGATTTATGCTACATCAGTTCTTTTGAGATGTAAATAACTTTTTACTCTAGAGAGAGTTAAACTTTTGCTAGGTGGAGAATTAGAGATCTTCAACTATATGTTTTTGTCACACCCTACACTGCCCCTTCCAAATAATGCAGGGTGCAATAAAAAAATCATATAATTCATAAACATTCATAACACAAATCATTTCAACCACCTTCATGCCACTTAAAATGGAAACATTCAAAATTTTTCATGCCCTTTATACGTATATAATTAAAGAGCAACTAAGCTCATAAATTTTTTTTTATGACAACTGTGCATGTACCTCTAATTAGGACTCATCTCTTTCTACCATAAAATCAAATATAGTTTTTAAAATTGACTTGAGTCTAGTTAGCTTCCACCTTTTCCTAGCTCTTTCCTGTGACAACAGCCAGAATAAAAATCTGGTGAGCTATGAGGCTCATAAAGTACGTAATTTACTAATATCGTATTAAGTATATGAAACATAATACTTGTTTATTAACAAGAAGTAATAAGAACTATATGTAATCAGTAAGGAAATATGCATAGTATGAAATTATTTAACAGGTAAAAGTTAATGTCACATGTAAGAACTATACTAATTTGAACCACTTTAGGGTATGTCTCATGATGCCAATATCATCACCACATGTCACATACTGCTGACATCATCAATTATGCCAAATGTATTCAATGAGTAATTCATACATCACAATATTTTATTATTCTTATATCTTTCAGTTCATCATATAACTTCCTTTTTTCAACCTTAAAAAGTGTCATGTCCTCATGGTTATGTCTAGGTCTATAGCTGGTAGGCACCTAAGGTCGCACTACCTCTATCGCTCGTATGTTTCATATTCCGTAGGCTCATGAGGTCGCACTGTCCATTAGGGTCGCATTGCCCATTCACCTACCACCTAACATGACACATTCTTAGGCTTTTCTGATTATTGTATTTTCTCTTCCAAGTTATGTGACACTTGCCTGTATATAGACATATGCATATGCAGACAAGTTAGTATGATTGTCAGTTATATCAACAAATAGGTAGGTATGACTGTATGAATCTATCACAAGGTACAACATAATAGACTTGCACATGATCGCATAATATAACAGGATCATAATATACGACAAATTATATATGACATGACTATATAAATTACAATTTTTGATTTATTACAAAGTGCAATGTAGAGACCAATATTACACATAACTAATTAATTTTACCCGTGTATAATTATACACAATTAGAGTAGCCTACTATATTAAGAAAATTGCATATCTTACCTTGTCATCGCGCAGACTCACAAAGTTAGATATCTCATGTCTGCCTGTATGTATAGAGCACCTCCCAATTTCGACCTCGCATACATGATTATATTAATTTCCTTTGTAGTACAAATGCCCCAATCAATAACTGAACCTTTCTTTCTCTTTTTCTCCTCTTCCTCCCTTGATTCTTCTTTCTTCTTCCCTTATTTCCTTACTCTTTTCCCAAACCTCTCAGATTTCTTTTTCCTATTCCTGCCTACAGTCTTGATTTTTTCCGCATAATCAAATTAGTCAGCACCTCTCCTAATTCATTTCTTTGCTCTCCCTCTTCCTCTCAACCTTCTAGCCTTACCATGATCATTACTTTTTCAAACATCCATCACAATGAAACCCTTGGCTAGCCCCAATCCTAAATCCTGCACCAAATCATGCACAACCAAACCCCTTCCCTAGCACATACCTCCCACTTCAGTTGTATGAACCCGACTCCAGCGGCTCCTGCACTTCTCGGCCTGCTCCCGCTCCTTACCTGACCACTTCAACTCCAGTTGACCACCTCTCGGCCGATTGAGCACTCTCCTTCATGCCCGAGAGCTCCTAGTGGAGAATAAGGCTTTCAGTTGGAAGGGAATGAAATGGGATTAAAATAACCTAAGGCATTTAGAATGCCTTACCCCTTCCCTAAAGCCTTGCATGAAAGCCACATGTTCCACCACCCCTAGGTATAGTATACTTTATTTTTAAATAGTTATCTCATGTTTTTAACTTAGGAAAAAAATACAAATGAGATTTAATTTCCTAATTTCCAATTCTTTACAATATGACCTTTAGTTCTATATGTCAAATTGGTCCATTCGACGAGTAGAACACAATGACATTAAAATTGCAGAATTTCGTGAATGTTAGAATTTCGGGGTATTGTTAAATTGAGCCTAATGTGGCACACTCCTGATCAAATTGGGTTTTACAGTTGTAGAGCTTGCAAAATCCATCCCGAAGTGGAGTGGCAAATGGGAAGTTCGTTTTGGAGATGACGTGACATTAAAGAAATCCTTCTCAAAGAAGAGAGATGAAAGAGAAGAATATCACTATTTCGCCTCATCATCAAAAGTTTCTCTTCATCCATTAAAAAATGATCATTAATAAACATATGGAAGCTTATAGGTCTTCATTCATATAATTAAACTAACTCAAACTTTATGAAGAACTAATTAGTGAAACTGACTTTTTTTTTTTTAAACTTTCATTTGTTTTTTATTGGGTTGTGCTGTTTGAGTTTTGATGAATTGCTAGTAATTTGCAAATATAATACTTAAGTCTTGCAGGATGATGTGATATGAAGTAGAGAGATGGGCTCAACATTTACTCCAGTGTTATTATGCATATAAATAAGTGTTACTCCATACGGTGGTGAACTCCTGGACATTTTAATGCATATCGTTTTCCTTTTCTTTTTCATTTTCTTTTTATTTATCTTTCATTCACTTATATATTATTTGAATCTACTTTTGATACACTTATGTATAACAGCTTTATAACTTTACTTTATATTTTTCTTATATGCATTTCTTTACATACGATTACTTTCACGTAATTGTATACTTGTATATACATTGCATATTTCATAAGTAATAATTATAAAATAATTTATGAGTCTTAAATTGTTTATGTAACATGCTCCTTTTAAATAGAAAAGAAATACAATAAAGAAAGTTATGAAAATATCCACTTTGAATCTTTCAAGTCTTCGACGCTTGGTACAACGTAAAGAAATTCACAATCATAAAAAATTAAAAATTTATCGTTTAATCTTTCCATAAATTTTCTTAAATATTCATTTTTATTAATAATTACCTCAAATCTCAATTTCTCTTTTCTTGTTGAATCATTGGTTGATCAACTCTTACAATTTTGATATATCTCTTTCCAAAATCTCTAAATTTGTACAACAAAATTTTCATGAAAATTTGATTTAACTAATAAAATTTAATAATAATTACATGATAGAAATTTACTCACAATGGGGATTTTCCAAAAATCTCAAAATCCTTCCTCTTTCCTTCTCAATTCTCTTCTCCTCACTTTCGATTCTCTCTTATCTTCAATTAAATATTTCTACTAATTATATGAAGAATAGAAGTTATTTATATAAAAAAAATAAACAAACCTTCTTCCTTCCTTTCTCCCAAATTGTTCCTCTCTTCCACCGTCGTTTTTCCTAAATCACCGCTTCTATAACAATAGAAATGAAAATGAGTTGTTTAATCTTACCCTCTAACGTGATCAACTGCTAAAAATGACGAAACAAATCTTCCCCAAACCTTTTGGTGCGAGTTCGGCCATCCGCCCCTTCATGTTTTCGCGAACTGCTCTGTTCTATTCGCTAAAACCTGCGCCCCTCTATTAAGAATTGGCCGGTTCAGTTGAACTAGCCAGGTCTGGTTCTTACAATCGCCCCTTCTAAAAAAATTTCGTCCTCGAAATTTAAAATAATGTATAAGTGACATACCTTAAGTCAATGTTTAAAATTGCATAATCGGGTATTGAGACATTTTTCGTTCGTGAGCGAGGCGTAAGCCTCAAGGCGTTTTGAGGCGTAAGCCTCAAAATCAAAAGATTGTATAAACATAAAATGATAAATTTTTATATTCTAATGAGTAAAAAATATAAAACATAAAAAGGCACAAGATATGAAGTGAAATCAAAACATCCCAATAATAAGACAATATGAAATATAGTTAAACTCAAATTCTATCTTTCCCAAATCACAGTATATCAAACCCTTAAAAATAATGCTTCACTTATTCTTCATTAAGAAAACTTATACAAAGCATGCACTCATGAAGAAGCAGACCAATACTAACAACTATTACTACAGATGATGAATATAAAAATATGCCGGGCAGCCGGGGGTCCAAGGGGGCGTTGCCCCCTGGCGGGATTCGACCTAGCGGTACCGAGCATGTAGCTAGCGGTGCCGAGCATGTACCGAGTGGTACCGAGCATGTACCGAGTGGTACCAAGCA